AAAAAAAAAACACCATACCACATTATATATCAGGACATCAAATGTCAACCCAATAAACAAATTAAAATTCTATTATCAGTGGCATACCCGAAATTAAATAAAGTATAAATTAAAACCCAATGAACAAAACACAATGAATGTCATAATAGTTATTAAAATCAAGCAAACACCTATCGTAGACGGGCATAAATTCAACCCACTAAATGGGTATATAGTGAATTCATATCAATCAAACAAAAAATCAATGGTAGAGTATACGGAGAGAGGGGGATACCTGTATTTGGACATCATCGGTGGTGGGTCACTGCAGGTTAAGAAAAAAGGTAGGAGAGAGAGATAGAAAAGAGATAAAAAAAAAAGGGTCGTATGGGGGAGAGAGAAAACACATAGTGGTTATAAAATAGTGGAGAGAGAAAAAGAAGGGTTGGTTGTTAGGTAGTGTGCCTGACAAAGGATATGAGAGATTCTTAATATAAATAAGTTCAAAATCCATCTATCAACTCCCAAGTACCCAATCAAAACATGTCTGAAAGGCATCTAAGTTCAAGCAAAGACACACACCCACACAAATACAAATTCTTTTTATTTATCAACATCAACCACAAATTCAAACAACTAATGTCAATAAATCCCATAAATTATTCTAAAAAACCAATACTCATCAATATGATCTCATTTCTCTAAAAAACCAAGACACACAACCACGCAACACTTTGCAATATGATCTCATTTCTTTATCCAAATCAGTAATTAGGAAACCTATTACTCATCACCAACAAAATTAACATGAAACAAATACCCACACCCGTCGACTGTAGCAGCAATCTTTCTTGAATTTTTAGATGCAATGCAACCTTTGAAATGTAGTCAAGAGAGGTTGTGCTTTATATGAAAGATCTTAAAGACACTCAGTTGTATTACTCCAAAGTCTCAATATAAACCAAGAAGACCAAGTAACTTCAAAAAGTAGAGACAAACACACACGCTCACGTAAGTTTAACCATAAAGATCATGTGGAAGGCCCTGAAAAACTTGAAGGCAATCCACCTTCTAACCCAGACAGGAGTGTGGACCATTCAACCATCGTTTGAGGAAATTGCAACTTGAAAAACGAAACCAAACCATAACCCATTTTCAATTAGTCAAAAACAACGAAACATACCAAGAATTCTGCAAAAATGTCCCCAGTAACAAAATAATACCTATAAAACTAATTGCCCATCAAACCATATTTCTAAAGAAATTCAAACACATACCTTTTAGCAACAAAAAGAGGCCCATTGCTCCAAAAGATGATGAATTGTGGCATAATAAATTTCCTGTGACTAATGGGGAAAATAAAAATTCTAAGTTTGTGTGGGCATGAAAGAAAGGTGATAATAGAGAGAGTTAGATGTGTGTGTGTGCCAAAGAGATGCAAGAACACAGAGAGCAATTTGTGTGTATTTGTGAGAACAGAGAGTGCGACTGGAGAGAGGTTAGAGGGAGGAGGGAGGCACCTGGGCTGCTCATCCATGGCAAAGGAGCGACGGTAAGAAGTCATCTGAATTCGTCATTGCGGCACTATCCCACTCTAAAATTTCAGCATCATAATTTTGTTCCCATGGGAATGCAGTCTTAAGTTCTTTATAAGATGAAGAATGTTGTATCACATCAATTGCCATTAAGATGGAAAAAGAACCCATCCCCAAGCTCCAATCCATCCACATCGGTAGATTTACACTTTCCCTACTTAGAGTCATTAAAGGAGGAAAAACACACACTGGTTTAATAAGCCAAGGAAAAATAACCAACCGACATCTAAAGATTCAATTTTTTAATGAATGCCTTATCGAAAACCTCATACTACTTGGATGGAGGTATAGGTATACCATAAAAACAATCAATAAGGTACAACTACTACTTGCACAAGAACATATATTGTAACCAACAAGCAACTTGATAGAGGACACACCCAATATCAGTTTCTTGTTTCCATGATCTAATGCAACTACAAATGATATGATAGACACATCCCAATTCCAGTTTCTTATTTCCCATAACAATATCATTTTCAGAAATAAAAAAATTAGTGCCATTTTTTTAAGAAATTTTAAAAAATCAAAAAGAAACATTAAGCAAGCCGGCCAAGTAGAACGAAGGCCTTACCATCAAAATCCGTCTAGAATGACCAAGTGGAATGAAGCACTTTATAATTCGATATGCATCAATGGTCCCAAAAAAATATTAGTTCCTCACTTTTTTATTTAGAATGTGTAAGATAGTTCTTAAATCATTAAATGTTTTAGTTGATTTAGCTCCACTGGGTTTGTTACTGTCCTCTCGTATGTTTCATGCATGCTTAAATTGCAAACCCCCCCCCCCCCAAAAAAAAAAAAAAGACACCCTTTAGTGCAAGTTTATACTTTTTTTCAATTGCAAAAACGAAAATTATAGCATAAATTTAAAAAGTGGAAACAGGAGTGTGTACCAGCATGAAATCGAGAGATGGTCGGGTGATCAAGGACAAAATCATAGAGATCCACATGCCCGAACATGTAAGCCCCCTTCTGATTCCTGGGTGGTCACCAAACGAAAAGATTCACTTGAATTCATACACATTAACAACGCTGAAAATTAATGACCAAACATAGCATTCTTTTTTATCATGAAAGACGTACACATCAAATTGATCGACAATTGAGTCATCTTTCAAAATTTCAAGGAAATCCAAATGAAAAAGTGTGTGTGTGTGTGTGTGTGTGTGTGCGTGAAAAAACAGAGGGGTGTGTGTATAGCAATGCTTTTTTTTTAGCAGGTGTGGTTATAATTTCTAGAAGAGTAGTGCTTATGCTTACTATAGTACTGCTTATGAAAAAAAAAAATAGTATATGGGTGCATGTGAGAAAAACGAACTTTGGGGCATTTGATCAAACAACTTGTAGGCGCACATGATAATGCTATTCCGTGAGATCTCGAGAAACAAAGAGAGGTAGAGGGAGAATTTGTCAATTGGCTATAGGGAGGTTACATTCATTGTCTATGGAGTTGATGGCATGGAGGTGAGTGGTGGGCTAAGAAACAGATAGAGGGAGGGAGACAAAGGCAAACAAAGAGGGCGGGTAGGAGTCAAGAGAAAATAAGAGAAAGTGAGACGTGTGGCGTCATCTTGGGGACAGGCTGGCGGTGGCTGGTGTCCATTCTCTTCCCCTTCTCCACCGCCAGTCGATCAATCTTGTGTGTTTGGTGGGTGTGAGAGAGTGAGTGATGGGTGTGTGTGTTGTGCGATGTGCTTGGCGTGGGTGCTGCAGAGAAGACAAAAAAAAAAGAGAGAGAAGAGGAACCTGATTCGCTGCTCTCCATGGTAGTGGGTTGCTGGCCGGCTTGAGAGTAGTGGGTGGTTGTTCAAGCAAATAGAGAAGGGAGAGTGGAGAGAGAAGAAAGAAGATTAGATTATATAGAATGGGGGAGAGAAATCGGGTGACTGGCAGATGAGAGAGTGAAAGTTGGGAGGAGTGGTTGAAAGTGATGGAATGGAGGGGGAAAATATTTTGGATGAGGTGTTGGTGATCGTAGGATGAAATGAATTGTGATCGTTCGATCGGCTTGTTGAAGCCCGTTGTATTTTATATTATAGAATGAAACAAAGTTTAGAATTTTTAGTCAAGGATGGAAATTATTTTTTGCCAAACAAATATACCCACTTGGTCAATTCACGAGTTGGTCACCTGGATAGCAAGTTGAAAATTGGAAGATATGAGTACCATAATTGAAAAATTTAATAACCAAATAGGATTATCTCAATTGATCATAATCACATACTGATTTCATAGTGCATGACGTTGTCAATGGAGTTTTTTTTCCTGCACTAACCATTTGCTATCATTAGATATCTCGCCATTTCAGGGCCACATTAGTTGGAATCACAAAAACTACCAAAGTCAAGTGTATAAATATGTAAAACAGGTCCACACATGGGTAGCTGACAGTTAACTACCAAAACCAAGAAAAAGAAGGGAAGGGATGTGACTTAAACAAAGAAAAAGAAAGATGATTGCAAATATGATCTCAAGCCACAAGTTAGGAAAAAAGGAAAAAAAAGGAATAAAAAAAACTTATGGGCATAATCAACTTTCAATTGAGAAAGTTTCTTAAACCCATAAACCTTTATAGAGTTCACACAACATAGATCACATTCAAAGTGGTATGACACTAATTGTTCAAGGGATATAAAAATACATTAAAGAGACTAAATAAGTTTATAGGCTCTATAAATCAAAAAAAAAAAAAGGATAGTTTTCCCTCAAAATAGGAATCTAGAAATTTCCATCTTGTATACACAATTTATATGTTTTATCACTATACCTAAAAGGCTAGTAATCAACTTTTAAATTTTTACAGCTCCCATGGAAAACTAATCCACAAACACAGAAGATTGATTACTTTGGATGCAAAACCCAGACATAAGATAATGAACAAAATCAAATTAGTTTTACTTAATCACCAAACGAAATTATATTTTACTCAATCATTAACTGAGACAAATTACACAAACTAACGAATTATAAACAAAAACTCAAATTAAAACACAACCAACAATCATAAATCATATTAAAGACAGATTGGGAGAGAAGTAGAGAGTTGTGAGGTACCTGGCATGCTGTCCGCGCAGAATGAGCAGCGGAGTGAGAAATGAACAGCAGCCAGAAAGAGAGAGTCACCTATAAATCCCATGTGCAAATCAATATTTACACAGAGTTTTTTTATTTTCTGAATGCAATACAAACCCTAAATATGGTATTTTTTTTTCCTGGTACTATAGTCTGGGTGTTTGAACTAACTTTTTGGCACTTTGATTTCTCTATTCTTCGGTATAATCGATCAAAAGTAGATCATATATGTTAAGACTAAAACATTAAAGAGAATAAATACATCTGGCCCAAGTCGTTTGGGTTTATGTCGTCAATGGGCTACCATTGAAGATAAATACCCTTTGATGAACATGAACAAAAGAAGCAAAGATGAAGAAAATTCGGGTCTCTGATTCTTCAATTCCATTCGATATTGTCTTCTCCACGCTCAAAACCTTACTAGCAGGAATTAATCACCGAGCCTCTCTTCGTCGAAGCTCACCAAACTCATTCTCAGACTCGACCAGAAGCTACCCACCTTCTGATTCACTACACCAATTCAATGTTGAATCAGTACATCTTCGCTGCAAATCACCATGGAAAGGTTTCTTCTGAACTTCCAACCCTTCAATTTCATCAATGGTTTAATCTCACCACTCGCGAAACAACCACACTACCTATAAAAAGGAGTGTTCTGCTATGTGTGTGTGTGTGTTTCTCTGAGTGCGTGGGTGGGTTTTTTGGTGGGTTGGTTTTGCAGACGAGGTAGGGGTGAGGGGTTGCGCAGAAGGGGGAGAGAGATTGAGGGGGTCTGTGTGTGTGTGTGTGAGAGAGAGAAACAGAGAAGAGGGAGAAATACCAGGGTTTGGCGGTTGGGGTGGGTGTGAGGAAGTGGAGGGAGGCGTTGAATCGGCGACGGACAACCGGAGATTATTGCCTTCTCCTCCGCCGCTTGATGGTGGTTGACGATACTTTCACCGATGGGCTCCGATACTGCAGTGATGATTGAGGTGGGTTTGTCACCGGACCTCTTCTGGTTCGATCAAGCAGTGAAATGAACTTCTTGATGGCAGTGGCTGAGAGCGAAGAGACTGAGATGAGAGAGAAGAGATTTGGGGAAGAGCCGTTGGGTTGGGTTGAATTGAATTGGGTTGGATGTGATGTTGGGTTAGGTTAAGTTGAATGAGATGAATTTAGGGGGAAAATATATGGGCTTTTGAATTTGAATGAGATGTATTTTGAGCCATTGGATGTTGAAGTTTTTGGATGAATAAAGACCGTACGATCGACTTATTGAAGTCCCGTTCTATTTTATATTATAGATTCGGCTATCATGTGTTTAATTCTGTCAATGTCATGCACGTCAAGGTCGTGGCTTTCACACACTGGTTTACACGAATCACAAGGCTGAAAACGATTCATCATCTTCATGGAACGAACATGAATCTGCCACGTGTCACACAGAGTTGTTTTCACGACGATTCGCATTTCCTGGAAAGAAAGGTTACGAGTTGACGAGGACCTGAAATGGACGAATGGCATTCCAAATGACATGCAAAAGTTTCCATTTCCGTACAAATTCCTTCTCTCTCCTGGTCTCATAGTCTATCTCTCTCTCTTTCTTTTCCTTCCACGCTAAGCTTTACTCACTCTATTAGTCAGTCCGCTCTCATTATCAGTCCTCTTCGCACCGGGGTTTCATCGTTTCCTGTGATCGAACTCTCTCTTTCTCTAAAGTCTGTCTGGTTCTCTCTGTTATTGTTTATTGGTGATCGGTGGAGGTTGAGTAATGGCGACGCCGAAGGAACACGTAGAGGAGATACGGAGAACGAAATTCTCTATCGGTGGAGAACCGAATCCGCTGACTGAAGATCTCCATCAGGCTGTTAAGAATCTCTCTGCTGAACTCTACGCCAAAGATGTTCACTTTCTCATGGAACTCATCCAGGTTTCCTACATTCATATATTTTTTCACATTAATTACAATTTACCGCTTCCAACTATATCTCTTGTTCCGATCAGCTCATCCTGGTTTCAAATCCGGTCATTTTTTACCTCCAAATTTCACGCAGACTCAATTGACGGACAATGGTGTTTGGAACATGAAAGTATCATTACACATTTCATCTTGTATATCATTTCCCATATTCTTTCCTGAAATATCAATTCTATCCCCTAAAAAATAAGGAAACAGAAAGGGGAAAAAAAAATTACACCTGCTCAGCCCAACACCAATACACGGCATAACATCATGTTTGCCTTTACTTTCGCATCCATCTTCACCTCTACCCAAAACCAACACGCATTCATGCATACAGAGACACTCTTTTTCTCAAGGGTAATTGTACTTTATAACAAAGCATCACGCAAATTTCTCATGTCTAAGGTATCTCTAATGCTTAAACTCAAATTTGAGTAAAAATTCCGTTGGACACAAATTTAAAGTTGGACAAATTCAAATTTAAAAGAAGGTGAGATATGATTATTAGATATTTTATAAGAGTAAAATTTAATTATTGAAGATTTGAATAAATATTTGAATCTGTTTTAATTTGAGTAAAATGTTGAGTGTTTTTTCATTTAATATAAATTTGAATCGAAGATTGAGGCTTGGTTTTAGTCCGCTCCTACTCAAAACTAAGGGTTTGAGTAAGCGGCAGAGATGACATAACATACGCCACTTTTAATAATCCATAATTAATTGTTGGAGTTAATTATAAAATATTCAAACTTAAGGGGTTATTTGTTGAAATTAAAACTTGAAGGGTGAATGCAAAACTATCCAAAGTTAAAGGGATATTTTGTAATTAACCCTGACATATACGGTATATCTCTCTGATTGTGTGTGTTTGTGAACTTATATATCTTTACGTGTGTACGATCTTATGAGCATTTTATGAATTATGATATGCACACGCGTTTTTCTATGTAGAATGCTCAGTATCGTATTTTTGTAAAATCCTTCCTTGGTTCACCATATTAGAATTTAGGTTAAATATTTTTATATCTTTTATTATTATTTTGTTCAATATTAATTTAAGTTTATCTTTACTCTTAATAGAAATTCTATCAGCGTAACAGGTAGCGATATATGTCTTGTAGAAGATTTTGAACAACAATTTGTACATTACAGAATGCTGAGGATAACGAGTATTTGGAAGGGGTTGAACCATCGCTCGAGTTTGTGATTACTTCCAGGGACATAACGGCCACTGGAGCTTTGGCCACATTGCTCGTATTCAACAACGAGAAAGGTTTTTCCCCAAAGAACATCGAGTCCATCTGCAGTGTTGGGCGCTCTACCAAGAAAGGCCTCCGCAAACGTGGTTATATTGGCGAGAAAGGCATGTCAATCACTATCCATTTTTGATTACTTGTGGACTCTATAATTTTATAATATGATGTTATACAAAACATGCATGGATGGTTGGTAATAGGAGTTAACGGGGTTGACTTAAATCAAAAACTTAACGGAATTGTTACGACGTCCCCAAGTCATAGTTATTTGTTTTTTGACCTATTCTTTGTGTGTATTTGATAATCCTCCTTTTCTCTTCTTCATTTTCTTCCTTGCATCCCTAGTTCACTGGGTTATGGGGTTGACCCGCCTAGTTAGGCTGAGTTTAGCAAACACTAGTCTTTTGTTTTTGTTGTTACTTGGTTGCATTATGCTAGTACTTAGAGGTTTATGTTGTTTAATTTTCGTCCATGTTCAAAGCTTTTTCTTTAATTATGAACTTCCAAAATTGAATTGATACAATTAACACATGCACAAACTATTAGGCCTTAACAGTACGACATTAATGGCCCCTAGATATGATAGTCTTTGTCAATTTGCTTTTGTGTGTGTGTCTCATTGGTTGAATCAAGGTAATATTTCCTTTCTGATGACGTCATCTATTGTTCTTTTTTGTCATGCCTCCTGTCATTTTAGCTCCTCTAGCATTTAAAAAAGGAAAAATTACTAATAAGTATTACTTTTTCTTACAAATATCTATTAAGTCCTATCATTTTTTTTTTATGTCAATGAAGTCCTACTTTTAATGTTTTATTTCACCGAAGTCTTAATTCCGTTATATTCAAAATTTACTCTTAACTTTTAGTTACCACTCTCGCTTTAGGGCTTTTCAATTTCTATTTGTTCCTTTTGCTCAACAATAGTGATGTGTTTTTTTTGTGGAGACTATAGATTGGAAATTTTTTTGCCCTTTTGTTCTCACTTTTCGCTCGTTGAAAAATTGTTAGAGCTAAGAAATACACCGTTGTTGTGTATCAGTTGTTATTTAACTCAACTTTATCTTTTTTTTTAGAATGGATAAGTTGTCATTCCTTTTTGATATGAGTTAATTTACTTATTTTTTTCTAGAAATAATTTTGAATTTGTATTGAAGCTACTATCGTAAACACATGGATGCTCAATTTTTGTTTAGATAATAATATTCACTTAAGTTGTGATTCTAAAAGTACAAGGCACAAGAATTCTCATCGGGAAACTCTTCTCCATTGAGAATACAGAGTCCACTGATTCAAAAAAAAAAAAGAATACATATAGTTCAAAGGCCTCTGTTGTATCCCATAATGATAATTCTAAAAATTATTAATAATTGAATTTTTCATAAAACTAGCAAATATGCAATACATAATTTAAAACACAAAAGGTCAAAGTATGTGTGAATAGAAAAAGACTAATATTATAGCCTCAATATCTTAGGTCTTAATATTTATTAAGAGAAGGATAAAATTGGAACAAAATATAGTATTTATGAAATTTAGGACTTCATTTAGATAAATTACAAAGAGTAGGACTTCATTGATATAAAATAAAAATGATAGGATTTAATAGATATTTGAGGGAAAAAATAATACTTAATACTTATTAATAATTTTTTCTTTAAAAAATCATTCTTCTAGACCCGTGCGTAAGTTAGTTTATCGTATATGTGGTCCAATGTTAAATTATAAAGTGGGTTTGCATCTTTCATGAAAGATCATGACCATTCAAGGTTGGTTTATAAGGTTGAAGGGCTTCTTTATCCATTTTCATTTGGTTTTGAGTTTGATTCTTTAACATGGTATTAGAACTAGCTTGGAGAATGTCTGGGCAAAACTCAATCTCTTTTATTTAGTAACTTGGTATGTTGTTAACTTCCTCTGTTTATTACTGTTAAAGATATAGCACCAGCCTAGTTTATTAGGGTTTATTATGTTTTCCTTTTTTACCTTTTTATCTTTATTGTAACTTTCATTGGCTATATGTACGGGGGCTCTACATTTAGTTTGTATCCCTTTTTACTCACCAATACATCAAGTTAGTATCAGAGCCAAAACCCCTAACCCTAACCCTTCACCGACTGCAACTCCACCAGCACCCACAGCCTGCAACTCCCCCAACAAACAGTCCATACACCGACTGCCTATCCTCATACTAGCCACATCCTAGACAAACTAGTCCATACCCGTCCACGACAACCTGCGACAAATAACCTCAATATATGACAAAGGGAACAACCTCACATGCGAAACCGAATACTCACCTAGATCGACAAATCCCAGCGAAACCAAATACCGACAGCGAACAATACCCCTGCATAGAACCAACAATACCGACAACGACCGCCTTTTCCTACCAACAAACACTGCACCCACCGACCTTCTTATTAAATCAAACCGACTGCCCACTGCCCATCTACTCCAGCTGACAAACCAAACCAACTCCTCACCTTATTAAATTAACTCCTCACCTTATCAATCCAGCCCACCTTCAAAGAGTATGCTCACCGACTGCCCATATTAAATAAATCCAAGGCAATAAATTGACTGCCTAGCCATTATTCAAACCTAACCCAGACCAGCCCATTGCCCAACGCCCAACCCAGCGACCCACTGCCCAACTTGGGTCACTGTCCAGCCCACTTATCAGCCCATTGTCGGGTCGCTTTTTTGGTGTAGCTTCGTCCTTCGCACACTTCGTCACAATGCTGCCAGGTTGCAGTATTTAGGATTTTTTTTAGGAGGGAGCGGATCCTCTTCTTCGGTGATCTATTTTTGATGCAGTAGATCACTTATTTTTATTGGATTTCTGTGACCTTGATTATTTGGGAGCTTTCTGGACCTTTTTTATCTGTCGCTACTGTTCAACTGGAGGTATATTGTTCTCCCCTATTTTGCCTCTCTATTTATCTTAGAGTTATTTTTATGCCACAAGTGCCCTAGTATTATTGATATGACTACTACTGAAGGAGTTGAGACCCCTGCCGTTGAGACTTCTGTTAGTACTTCTCCCAGGTATAGGGGTCGACAGCGCTCGGCCCAGCGCCTTTAGGGTACCCCACATCAGCGTAGATATGGGGATTCTCGTCAGTGTGATTATTGTAGCCGACTAGGACATTTCAGGGCTATTTGTTGGAAGCTCCATCTGGAGCTTAAGCCGCCTTCTCGCAGCTATACTGTTGTTATTGCTAAGACACCACCACCTACAGTCGTTGCTCCTGCTATTATTGCTACAGCTCCTCCTTGGCAGAGTGATAAGGATTCTATCATTTCTCGCTTGGATATACTTATGTTAGCCTTGACTTCTCGTACTGTTGCGACTACTATAGGTATACCTCATGCCTTTCATACTTGTGCCAGTCCATCTCCCCTTTGGATCTTAGACTCAGGTGCTAATGGTCATATGACAGGTGAGGCCCATCATTTCACCTCTTTTGACGAGCAGTTACATACTCAAGTTCAGTTAGAAGATGGTACACATGCTCCTATTATTAGTAGGGGTACAATTCGCCTCCCAAATTACTTTACATTACGTTCGATGTTTCATGCGCCATAGCTGACCATGAATTTATTATTTGTACATCAGTTAGCTAGAGCATACTCGTCATAAGCTTGATGATAAAACAATTCGTTGTGTTTTTGTGGGCTATTGTTATCAGTCTAAGGGCTATCGGTGTTATGATCCTATTAGACGTCGTATGTATCACAGTCTAGATATTATCTTTCTTGAGTATATTCCTTATTTTTTTTTTTTGGCTTGTATCTGCCCCTCCAGTTGATGATATTCCCTTTGATTTTCCATTACCCCCGGAGCCAGAGTCATTGGTCACTATCACTACAGAGTCATCGGTTTCTCCTTCTTTAGAGCCACTCATCCCTGTCAGTACAGAGTCACCAATCTCTCTTTCTTTGCATTATGTTTGTCGCCAACGCTCTCATTCCCCTATTGATGTCCCCTCTACCTCAGGCGATGTAGGTAATACTTCTCAGTTCGTTGAGCATATTGATACACCTGTTGTTAGTACTGATGGGATTGCAGGTATTGAGCCAATTGTTTTACCTGATGAGACATTGTCAGTGGAGGATGATGATTTAGGGCGTTGTTATCCGCAACGTAATCGTCGTCCAGTTGTTCGTTATGGTTGGACCACCAAGATTTTATACCTAATATCTGATTATGTTTTTTATGGTGATTTGTCTCCTATATTTCGGGCTTATAGTATGACCTTATTAGATACGCCGGTTCCTCGCTCTGTTTTAGAGGCTATGCGGGAGTCCCAGTGGATTCTTGCTATGCAGACAGAGATGGACGCTTTTTAGCGTAATCATACGTGGGATCTTGTCTCTTTACCTTCAGGGGTGAAACCTGTTGGCTGTCGCGGGGTTTACACTCTGAAGTTTCTTGCAGATGGTACTATTGATCGTCACAAGGTAGGCTTGTGGCGAAGGACTTTGTTCAGGTACCAGATCGTGATTTTGGTGCTATTTTTGCCCCCGTGGCAAAATTGACTACCGTTCGATTGATTATTTCTGTAGCTACAGAGTACTTTTGGCCTCTTCATTAGTTGGATGTGAAGAATGCATTTCTTTATGGTGATCTGGACGAGATTATTTATATGGAAGCACCACCAGGCTTTCATGGTGAGGGAAAGTTTGCTGGAAGGTATGTCGACTGTGTAAGTCTCTTTATGGACTGAAACAGTCACTATGAGCCTGGTTCACTCGCTTTACTGATGTAGTTGTACTTTTAGGGTTCACCAGATGTTATTTTGATCATACCTGCTTTATTCGACGGAATACTTATGGACAGTATATCATCGTTTTGGTATATGTTGATGATATTATTATTATTAGAGATGATGTTTCTGGGACTGCGTAGGTCAAGGTAGACCTTGGGAAGGCCTTCGATGTGAAGGACCTTGGATTTTTGCGATACTTTCTTGGGATTGAGGTTGTCTGTAGCTGCAAAGGTATTGTTCTTTCTCAGAGAAAGTATGTTCTGGATCTTCTCTCAGACACTGGGATGCTGGGGTGTAAATTGGCATCATCACCCATGATTCTAAACCTGAAGCTTACTGTTGAAGGTGAAGAGTTAAGAGA